CCCTGAATCTTGGATGGTTCATCTATAGCTGAGCTCTCAGCTACTTATACTTGGCACTTTGACCAGAATGAGTATCTGCCCTGTTACCCACTGCAAAAAGAGAGTCTTCTCTGACCAAAGTTGAGAGCAACACAAATATATGAGTATAAGCATAAATATTTATGAGGCAGATTGACAACCTAATTGTTTAACATAACAACAGTAGGTTTGCCCCGCCACCCCAGTGCCTATCATCTCCTCAATCATGAGCTTTAGACCAGGTTTGCAATATCAGGCATGAAGTCCCTCTTTTGAAGCAGGCCTCATATTCAATCAGAAAGTGCTTGGTCATTTCCATAACTGTCATGCCACTATTACACCATTTGCCAGGGGGATTGTTATTGTAGTGTGCTGCACTCAGGTCCAGCCTTGAGTGAGATCAGTGGCTTTTCTTTTCCAGCAGCCTGAATACTTTCTTTTGGTACTTGTAAGCTACCCTGTAGGGAGGGAATTTCCTTGAAGTTGATCTGTCAATATACTGCATTCAAAGTGAACGGTATCTTCAGCAATAGGGTGTCCACCTCCTGTTTATGGTGGGTAACTAAGAGTAACATTGTGTGCTGTTTTGGGTGCCTTTGGGGTCTTCCTGACCAATAACTCACAGGGAGAAATTTTGTGCCTAGCACTGAGGTTTTCATTTAATGACCTATGTTTTCTGGGAGCAGTGTTGTCTACCCATGCAGGGTACTCTGGTCAAATTACTTTTTGCTATATATTATATTTTAAAACAGCTTACAAACCAGTGGATTTCTGTAAGACTTCATCATATATCATTGTTTTGATTAAATCACTTCTTATCTTCTTATCTTCCTATCTTCATCTCTACTTATATTTCAGCTCAGATTATTTCCTCCTGTTCTTCCATGTCGTTAGTGTTCTATGATCCTCTCTGCTCATAGTTTTACCTGGGTTGCAAAATCATAGTTTTTTTTTTCCATACACTTCCATACACTGAATTAATCAGTCAGTCTTTCCTAAGAGTCCTTCAGGGAGTTGCTTAGCAGAGGCATACCCTGTTTATTCCCTTCCAGGCACCTGCCATTTTTCTTCATTATTCTTCTAGTTTTACTCATTATATCTTTGGAGTCCCATGTAGCCCAGCCTAGTCTCAAACTTACTGTATATTCAAAAATGACTTAAACTTCAAATCCACCTGCTTTTGCTTCCTGAATGCTGTGATTGTAGTTGTTTAAACTATATCCAGCTTTATGTGATATTGGGAATGAAACCCAGAACCTCATGCATTCTAGGCAAGTATTTTAACCAACTGAGCTACATCCCCAGCACCACATTTTACAACTTTAAAAGGCAAATGGTTTGACTCATTGAAAGTAGAAATATTTGATATTGAAGAATATTTATTTGTCTGTTATTAGCTAAATTAATCACTGAGTGTATGTGTGTGTGTGTGTGTGTGTGTGTGTGTGTGTGTGTGTGTGTGTGTGTGTTGTCTTATCATGAGTATTTGGCATGAGTTCCAGACTTTCAACTCTTTATCTCTACCTATCTTCTTTTGGGATTGAGAAGGTTGGCCTTAGACAGAAAGGCCAGTACACATGCGTGGCGCACATGGGCACTGTGACTATCTTTTTGAATGAAATATTTTCACAACCTTCCCTTGCCTGTTTTTTTTTTTTTATTTATTAACCATTTACTAAGTCAGTGTCCATTTATTTGTTAGACTTCATCCTGTGAGCATCTTGGTCATACTGATAGAACAGTGACAAGAGCCTCAGGTGTTTGGGTGGCCTCCAGCTTGAAGCTTGGAAGATTTATGTCTGGACAGCTGTGTGTAAAACCTTTTGCACGTGAAGATCAGCATATCCCCCAAAGATATAATGAATAAAACTAGAAGAATAATGAAGAAAAATGACAGGCGCCTGGAAGGGAATAAACAGGGTATGCCTCTGCTAAGCAACTCCCTGAAGGACTCTTAGGAAAGACTGACTGATTAATTGAATCAATCCATCATGCTTGAAGTGACAGCATCAATTTGTAATCTTTTTTGGGAGCTGTTTTATTCCATTGCTACTACAATTTAAATTCACACGAGGGCAGAATGAACAGCCAACAAAATACTTATTTTAATATTAAGGTGACATATTATTAAGGAAATTTCATTATGGAAGAGATTTACATTAATTTTAATAATGATTTAGTCTAAGAGAGTCAACATGTGGTTTCCTCTCTTAATTTATCATATAAATTTTATCATGTAAATATCACCTTTCATTGCCCATCCAAACCTTGAGTTCATTAATTCTAATCTTTAATGATTAAAAAAATGATATTATTATAATTCTATAGAATACAAAATACACCTGCCTCTTTACCTGTTTCAGGAGGAACTTCTCTCTGTTTTCACTTACTGTCAAAACTCACAAAGTTTTAGAAGATTTCAGTGATAAATATGATGCTAGCACATATCATCTTGCTCAATTTCTCATTAGATTAAATGGCATAGAATATATAAATGTTTGAGATAGTCTTCCTCCATAGCCATCAAAAATGTCTGTTTCAGTATACTGACTTGTTTTAAATTGGACAATCACATAGTGGTCATGGAGTTTTTTCTTTTCTTCCTTGGAAGCAGGTAGGAGGCATATATATAATAAAAGGAGAAGAGACCCTCAATGATTTAAATGGGATGAAAATAATAGAAACTTCTTTTTCCAGTGTAGAGATCTTGACATCAAAGATTTCTAGCATAAGCCCTGAGTTCTGAAATTTACCAAAGACAAATAAAATGTTTGAGGAAATATTTCCTTGATGAATTCATGTACTGCTCAAGATGGGAATGCTTAAATAATCTTAATCTCTCTAACTTACTTATTCATAAGTGTAGGCCAAATGCACCCTAAGAAACCTGTTCATAAAACTGAATACAATTGGTAGGTTAATACAGAAGGACATATCATATATCCTTGTTTATATCTGGGTATAGGTTATTGGTTTTTGAAAGAACTGTAATAGAATAAAATATATTTTAGTATCAAAACTACTTCAAGCCCAATATATAATAGTTCAGAAGCATTTTATGTTTTGACACTGTCTTGGGGGCTTCCTTATCATAAGTCATTTGAATTTACACAATCATGGGTCAGTTGATAGAGTCTGGGGTTTGTATGCTGCCCAGAGTGTAGAGCAGAATTTTCTGTGGAATAGGGAATTGTTTACACTTCCAGATGAGTACATTGTAATGTTGGATTTTTTTTCCTGAACTGCTTGGAACTTTTTTGTCTCTGTAATGAATGGATCTGGATTTCAGAGGCTAATTATTAATGCAAATTATTTAAAAATACTTTGTATTTCCAAATTAAAATGCTGCACTCACCACATCAGTGGGATATTGGATACACGCTTCACTGTACCCATGGTTATGTTTTAAATACTTACAACTGTAGCCTTAGCTGTGTTTGCTGTTTCAACATCTTATAAGTTAGGTGAGACTTTCAGAAGAACATTTTCCTTGGGGAGTATGTATGTGTCTATGTATGGTTGAGCTGTTCATTTCATCACTTTTGATACCGTGGAGAAGCTATGTATCTTTGACTTTACAGTCAGTGAAGAACCATCCTGAAATGCATCCTCGCAGGCTTCGGTGAACACCACCTGGACATTCTGTTCTCATCCGGAACCAGAGCTAAAAAGCTGCTTTATCACTTTCAAGGCTCTCACCATGTGGCCAGGAAATCAAACACTGAAAGTCCATCTCTAGCTTCTTGGTACACAGCGCAACTTCTGCGACTTTCTCCTGCAGTGCTGGAATTTTGGTTTGTGGTTGCTGGTATGTGTCTGTGTACAGTGGGAGGAGCATAAGTCAGCAGCAGCCTGAGCTTCTGGTCAGCCTGGGCCAGCTCCTGTCTGCCCTTCCATTCCTACAGTGAACCTCGGCAGCAATTAAGGACTAATTACCAGGGGCTAGTCTTTTCTGTTTGCCTCCACTACTCCAGACTGTTTCCGTACAGCTGTTTTCCACTGAAGGGAACATCCATATTCTAACAACATCAACAACAGCTTATGTTATCCAAGGGGCAATCAGTAGTCTTTAAATTATTTCATTTAAAATAAAATAGGAGCCGGGAAGATAGCTCAGTTGGTAAAGCGTTGCCACATAAGCTTGGGAACTGAGCTGGATTCCAGTTTGCTTGTAATCTCAGTGCTCATGAAGCAGAGACAGACTAGCCTCGCCTAATTGATGAGCCCAGTGAGAGACTCTGTCTCATTAAACAAAGTGGGTAGTTCCTGAGAACTGGTACCTTATGTTGAGTTTTGACCTCCATACACATGTACGTACATACTGCTCCCACACAGGCACATGGGCACTCACAAGCACACAAACAAGTATTTTTTTTTTTTTTTTATCAAACTGAAAATCCCCACCTCTAAGTTAATCAAGTGATTTTTAAAAATTATTATTTCATTTCACGAGTATGGGTGTTTTGTCTGTATGTACATCTGTCGGTACACCAATTTTGTGTCTGGTGCCTGTGAGGGCCGGAAGAGGGGGGCAATGAATCCTCTGGAATTGTGACAATGGTGGTGAGCTGCTAGTGAGTGATGGGAGTCACCCTCAGGTCCTCTGGAAGAGCAGCCAATGCTCTTAACTCAACTCCTGAGCCATCTTTTTGGATCCAAACCAAATGATTTTAATCTGGTGCCCTTTTAATGTACAAAATCACGGGAGAAAGGAAAAAGAAATGTTCCTCAGGTGACAGCAAGCCTGTTGCAGGTAGTCTGAAGTGGGAGTCCAGTGTTGGAAGAGTGTAAGTCGGTGCCACCCACAGCTGAGTTATGAACGGCGCTGGGACTTGGCGGTTCTCTTTCCTGGCTGACCACTCACTGGACTGCATAGACTATTAGTAGCATCATCCATCATCCAAGTCTACTAGGGTTTCCCTGTCAGTGACGTCAGACACACTGTGAGAAGCAGCAGGGGCTTTCAGGGATGGCTCGGAAACTTCGTTGTTTTTCCATTTATTTTTTAAAATGCAAATTACACTAGTAAGTCAAAAAAATCACTCTGTTAAAAATACATTCAGAATTAACAAATGCAGGAGAGAGAGAGAGAGGGAGAGAGAGGAAAAAAAAAGACAGATCAGGGTTGTTAACTCTTGCTTTCAGAATATTAGGTTTATAACAAAAGCTCAGCCTAGAAAAATAGCATTCTTCACCAGATTTTGAGGAGGATACAGCTGTACAACTTTGATGTTTCCCCAGATAGAATCAACCACACGACTGTGCTTACTGCTCCTAAAAAGGCCCGGCCTTTGACTACTCTCTAGTAGTCAACAACTGTTTCTGAAAAATTTGGTGGCGATGATATAGTGACTTGGTGGAGAGTTGGCTGCAACTTAAAAAGAAACATGACGGCTTATGTTATTCCCTCCCTAACACATGTACTACAAGGTGGAATCCCATCACAGTAGCAGTGCCGTGAAACCTCATTTTAATAGTCACATTAGAATAGCTTCTGGCATGTGTAGTATTTATATTTTAGGAATAAAGGGACAGCACATTGGTGAATAGTTTTCCTCAAACATGAAACATGCATATCACTATAAAAACACCATATGAGGTTTCACCGACATGCTTGCAACTGTTCATTTCACGCATGTAGGTAGGGGCCAACATAAACAAGCCACCGGGAAAACTCAAGTGTGAGTGTTGAAATCTTTTCGTGCATGTGGTTTATGTTCCAATGGTCATTTTCAGTTCCTTTGTCGGTTTTAAATGGGTAGGTGGGCATGTTTCACCAACGTCGATGTGAAGACAGCCACTGGCTTGTCTTACGGAGAATTGAATGGGTCAAGACGAAAAAAGGGTTAACCCAGTAAATAAAACTGTAAGTACCGAAAGAAAAAAAAAAAAAACAACAAAGTTGCTCCATGCCAGTGTCTAACTTCTCAGTCTGAATTGCACTGCACGTCAAGATGATGTGTTAAAGAAAACCTGATTTTAGTGTCCAAGTGGATCCAAGAAAAACATGACTTCATTTGTGTTACTGATAAGCTTGAGCTAGTTATGTTTTCCACTAATGAAAACCAAACAGTGCTTGAAAATACAGAACTAAATTTCCTAGGAGTTCAGAATATCCCATAAACACACTGACCTACTATTGTCTCCAAAGGCATCTCATTGCCAACTACGTCAACAGCACAGGTTTTTTTTTTTTTTTTCTGCCACAATAATACAGGAGGATTGAAATACACTCTAACACACAACAGATCCCCCAAATACCACAAAGAGATCTCAAAGATTTCACTAAGTTAACTATTGCTCCCCCCCCAACCCACCCCAAAAATAATCTCGTACGCCGAAGTTAGAAAAGAAAGTTCACCTACATTGGGTCTTGGATTTGAGTTAGATATAAAAGAGTAAACATAGCTAATACATAGTCAGTTGGCCTCTGTCATAGAAATCCACAGCTGTTCCCTGTGTTAGGAAAAGCCATTTGTAGATACTTAGAAAAGCACCTAGAGTGCAAGAAAAAACAACCAAGCGGTCAAGCCATCTCTGCTTTCAGTAGATTAATGAGTTTAGTAGATTAATACATTTTACTTTGTTTCACCCCCGACTACATCAGAAGACCATGTTTAAGAGACAGGAAGATGACAGTTGTTTGTTGTCGTTGGTACTTGTCTCTTTGTGGCCACTGAAGAGGCTCAGTGGTAAAGCATCATTTTCTTACACAGACGCGTTGCTGCTGCTGAGAGTTTCTGTCTTGTTCCTTGACGTGAGACAGAGTCAAATTGTTCGGAATCAATAGCAGTGTGTTAGCCTAAAGGAAGTGACTGGGGGACGCCTGCACTGAGAGTCTCGGGCACACAACTTAGGTGGGTTAAGGCAAGTGAGTACGATATAGCCTTTAGGGCAAACAACCTGCCATTTCGCATTTGGTACAAGGTCATCACAGCATGTTCTGTCTGTTTTTTTTTTTTTTTTTTTCAGTTATGTTCCCTAAGTAGCTGTGGTGCTATCAAGATGTATGGTATGGAGTGCAGAAAAAGGGTTCCAAACTGGTGTGCCTGGGTTAACTTGGCACCTCACAGAGTCAACAGGCTGGGCTGTGGAGGAGTAAGTAACAGCCTGCAGAGGGCGCCAACGTGTCTCCTTTCCCACCTTCAAAGGCCTGGGAGAAAGGAGCCTGCTTTAAGGAAATCCAGGATGGGCGTGTCCTGCATATTTATCAGTTTCAGTCCGAAAGAGGATGCCCAGTGGAGTTGATGTGTGCATGATAGTGACAGCGGTGTGTGTGTGTGTGTGTGTGTGTGTGTGTGTGTGTGTGTGTGTGTGTGTGTGTGTGTGTGTGTATGCACGTGTGTGTTTTTACACGTGTCTATGTAGAAACTTCCTGTTTGGTCTGATAACATGTATGTGTATTTAAATTCATTTGCTTCTTGCTTTTCATAAAAGGCAGGAGGCCACTGTACAAGTCATTTGAGAAGTCCATGGGTTGCAGACAGAAGTCATCTGTGTTATTTTGACCTAAGAGAGAGAAAAGATGCTTTTAGTCAAGAGAGAATGCTAGGTGGTTATTGCTTCCCACTCCCACTTCTCCAAACACAAGAGCAAACAGAAAAGAAAAAGATTGGGGACGTAAAGGAAGTAGAATCTCAAATTGGGTTTTAAACAGTGTTTCATCTCCCTTTTATCTCTGTTTCATGCCACCAATAGAGGCCATTTATGATCATTCAGGGAACAGATGAAATGAGTATGTACTGCTATAAGCTGCCAAAATGATGCAGTGTTTTCGCATGCTGTTTAATACATTGCAGGATTGTATTAGGAAGGGGACACCATCATGTCCATATGTGCCATGGCACGTAAGTAAATTGGGATAAAAAACAATTACTTTGTAGAAAGTTAATGGGATGACATGGGAATTTCTGATAGCCATAAATTTATTTTGTATATATGTGACAAACTGTAAGGGGGGAGGGGGGAAAGTCTTTCTTTTATATGGTTGTATATCTGAATTATAAACTAAGAACACACCCAACTGAACTATCAATAAAGGTTATCCATTGGCTGTGACTGTGAGTCCCTGCTGTCAGTGACTTTATGGCTTTGCCCAGGAGCCAGGTCACAGATTTGTTGGATGTAATAGAAATCCCATAGCTAAAACTGTACACTGCTTTTTAGCATTTGCTTTCTTTCAAAAGAACAGCTTTTATTTCCAGTGGCTATATAATATTGCTGGGATGCTTGAACTGGTCCATGATGTTAAATTACTCTTACTTTATAAGACATATTTATGACAAGTTGACAAGAAAAGGTATACTCCAAATGACAAAGACAGAGGAGGTGCCCAGGGCTCTGCCTCGCAGTGGGGATGAGGCTTATAGGTGAATCAAGTTTGATTTTTCACAGGATCCCACTAGGCAGAGGCTTTCAGAGGACAGATTTTGAGGGTCACATAGTTGTAAAGCTCCTCGTTCAACACTGTATAGTGTAAAATCAAAAGGAGATAAGGGAGATGGAGAAACAGGGTGGGACACATGCATGGAAATGTGACAGCCAAATTAACTGGGCAAATCAGTGAAATCAAACCAGGGAAGGCAATGCCAGGCTGAATTCACAGTCCATTTAAGAAACTGAAGAGATATCAAACCAGGGTCAGGAAAAGCGCATGATGCTCTCAGCTGCACCAGTAGCAAGTTGGGTGAGTTTTGTTTTCCTGTCTCTTGATTCTGTTCCCTCATTTATAAAATAAAATCACAGAATTTTTGTGATCTGATGTTTTCTAAGGGGTGTTTTGTGGAAGAGGTGGAAGGCAGAATTTTGACTGGTAATTTTTCATGTACCTTAAGTATTCCTAACATCCTAGACATGTGTCCTATTAAACGCTTAGAAATTCATGAACAATGTGATTTAAAAGCTGTCATATAATTGTGCCATTCTCAGGCATTGGTGGGAAAAAATGATATCTGATTATGTTTATTTGGCAGGCAAAGTTTTCTATTTAAGAAAATTAGGGCAAGTTTTGTTCTTAGGGAATTTAATCCTTAACAAAGATAATCTTTTTAAAATTCTTGTTTAAATATTAACATTAGAATTAGAAATGCTTGATTGGAAACAATATGTTTGATTACAATACACTTGTACAAGGAAAAAACGTGGGGAGTGGAAAAACACATGTCATTGTCGGGAGAACACAAATGTTCCAGTTTTGTTGGAAAAAAAGTGGCTGAGAGAAGCTTCCAGAGCATTTATGCTCCTAACAAATGAAAAAGTTTAGTAATTTCTACCCCAGCATTGTGTCTTCCTAGCAACATTTAACATCACTTGCTTATAGCGGGGGCACAAAAGTTATCAAGAGTGGAAGACAGAATATTTCAATAAAACGTTGTGTCCAGATCAACATACTCCTGCAAGGCTATGGTCAGGGGCTCAGAGCATCACTGTTAACTTTTGGAAAGGAAGGGAAGGCATCAGTGAGGAATTAGGAATTAGGAACACTAATTTGGCAGCCATGCATAGGATGGGACAAAAGTTCTGAAATAATGAAACTGGCAAACTCAACAGTGGATCATGGATGCTTGAACTAGGCAGTGGTTTTGGATGTAAAGGAAGGATGTGTGATTTACTGTGTATAGAGGTAATGCTTTGAATGGCTTGTGGTTTTGCTTGACTTCTGAACAGATGTCATCTGTTTTTATGAGTGGTGCTGTTGGAACACTTGCAGAAGACTACAAGGGACACATAGAAAAAGGCAGGCACAATGTATCCATCATGCTCTTTTAAAAGAGAAACTTAGGAGACATGTCTAAAGACTCATCTGTTTGGAGCAGAAGTACCCCCAAACTCCATTCATTATCCTACATGCTGGAGGTATCAAAAGGCAGATGACTTAATGGCGGAGGACAACGACAACAAACACATATCTTCAAAGAGAAGTTCACATTTTAAAATGAATTGGAAGCTTACTTTCTATTTTGATCTTCTCTTGCAATTCAGCATATCACTTGATGCTGAGATATAGAATTTGCTATCAGTTGTTATCCAAGGGAATTTGCCTAAACACAGATATAAAAATCAGGCTCTGATTGTCTGTGCTCTTGAGTGCTACAGTTAAGGGTTTGATCAGTTTCAGTTCTGATGTTCCGGTTTCATGTTGACTTCCATGCTGATAAAGTATGGCTCAGAGTTTGAGTTTTTGGAAGATGTATCCATCACTACGGTGAACTAGCATTTATCATCTAAATGAACACTCAAGACTATTATGGAGGGCTGATAACAACGATATGAACACAGTCAGCATCAGTTGGGACTGTACTGAGGAAGCCAGAGAGTGTTATATAGTTGCATATAACTGCCTATACAGTTAGGATATTTTCAAAATACACACATTTTAGGTAATTCAAAGAATTGTTGTATATTGGAGGCTTTTGAGCCATTTAGATGATACTTACATAAGACTAAAGAAAACTTTAAAGATGGCGTTTTTGATGTCATTTTTTTAAACACAAAGAAAATGTTTTAGAATCATCCTAGTCCAAACAATATTAATAGTAGAAAATGGAAATATACAACCAGAGGAAAGCTGCATGCATTTTTTTGTGCCATGATACATTTACTTGATTATCTTTTCATACCCCCACCCCCCAAATATCTTCCAAGTAGAGTACTTACATGTACATTGGTTGTAGTTGTAAATGAGATGTCTTCTGAGGTCCTTGATATCCATAAGAGTCAAAGCCACCTATGAAGTCAACTGAAAAGAGACAATTACATTTGTTAGTTCACTTTTCAGGAGATATAGAAATGAATGATCAAGGTCCTCACAAATTACTAACGTAAACGTTAAAATAATCAAATAAACTAAATTAACCAATGATGAAAGAGCAGAAAAAATAGTTTCTTCAAGGTAGTGATTTCCTTTCCTTAGCTATGAGATTTAATTACTGCTTTACAATATTCTTTATACTTTGGAGATGAGTTTTGTACATTTCTTAAGTAACGAAGACATAATTGGACTAATTAAACTTCTCTTGCACATTAAAGATGGACTATGAATTTTTGGTTAATGTGGAGGAGTTTGGGGGAACACATTACAAGTGTTATAACACAACAATCATAATCAGTTCAATGTATCTGTCCACAGTTGCAACACTACTATCAATATTATGTATTCTGATGATCAAGTACAGAGTACTGTAGTTGAAGATCATGCAACTCAACATCGCTTTGCTTGCCATCCCATCATATGTTTTACAATCAAAAACAATAAGAAGTTAGATGTGGAACAAGGTCTAGCCAATCACTCAAATGCATTGCATATCCGGATGTCAAGTGAAAGATTCAGTAAGATACAGCAAGAATTACTATGGCAAATGGTATTTTCCAAAATGCAGCAAGAACATTGCCTATTCCACACGTTCTTACAAAGTAACACTGGCCCTCTTCCCATGCCATGTTTTTGATCTCTGACATTTCCTCTCAAACACGGGTAGAGGTGTTGGGGCAGGTTTGAGTCTCGCAGCAAGGATGCTATGTTATTTTAGCGCTAGCTCATTGAGGCTCATTTATTTTCTTCTTGTTTTCCTTTGGCAGGCTCTCTCTTGAGACAAGCCCCCATACTGTGAGGAAGCCCAAGCAAATCCACACAGAGAAAACCATGAGCACCCACATATTTAACCCACTGTTTAGCGGAGGTCCTAGCCCATAGCTGCCGTTCACTTCCAGACACGTGAGAGAAAAATGCCTCTACCTGATTTCAGACCCTAGCTGTTGAATCAGCTCAGTCTTGAGGTATTCCTAGCTCAGCTGGTCTCTGACACCAAAGAACATAGATGATTCCATCACTACCCCATTCTTGTTTGAGTTATTATTAATAAGAACCTTCAGGTTATTATTATTATTATTATTTTTATTTTGATACAGGGTTTCTCTGTGTAACCCTGCCTGTCCTAGAACTTACTCTATAGAACAGACTCACCTCGAACTCAGGGATTTGCCTGCCTCTGCCTCCCAAGTGCTGGGATTAAAGCTTAACAACTGCTTATGTTGGAACACTAAGCTTTGGCGAAACAAACAAGCAAACAACAACAAAATTGGGGAAGGTAGTTGAGTTCTGTGAAAAAGCTGCGTTTTGCCCTCTCTTTTTCAGGCGCACGGATTGAGGTTGTGCCATGAGATAGAAGACAAAAAACTATAAAAGGCCTACAAAAGAGATTACAGGAAAATAGAGACCAGATTAGAATTCATCAGAGACTTTGGTTTTTCTAGTAGCTTATTCCATTGGCTTCCGTTGTCTTCCTTTGGTTCTCTTGTTCATACCCTAGAGTAGTACAGATAGGAAGTCCATCCAGCAAAGAGTGAGCTAACATTAAGTCTATAAGGGCTATGCAACAGAAAATCTTCCTCTCACAAAGGATGCTATTCTTTAGTGTGATATTTGGCTCACAGCAGAACTTAGTAAAGGGTGTACAACTACTTATATTCCTCTTTTTGTCATATTCACATACATACCTTCTCCCAATATTAATATTCCCCATCAGAGCTGTATGTGAGTTACAATTGATTAACCTGCATCACTACATCACTATCACCAGAAGTTAATAGCTTCCTCTAGGGTTCACTCTTGGTCTTGTACAGTATATGGGTCTTGACAAATATATATGGCATGCATCTGGCAGTATAGTATAAAAAATAGCCCCATTGTGTAAAAATGTCCCTGTGCTCCATATAATATCCTTATTTCCTAGCTCCTGTGGCAATTGATCTTTTTGTGTCTCGATAATTTTCCTGTTTTGCAAAATACCATAGAACCGATATTTTATGTGTGTGTGTGTGTGTGCTCATTTGCACATTACTGTGCACATACAGAGGTCAGAGGACAGTTTTACGGAGTTGGTTCTCTCCTTCCACTTTGTGGGCTCCAGGGATTGGGCTCCTGTTACCAGGCTCGTGTGGCAGTGCTTTACCAAGTGTGTTGTCCTGCCCCTCCTCATACAGCACTTTCCAACTGACTTCATTCCCTTTGAGTTCCTTCTATGTATTTTCCAATTGTGTGTGCAAACTGGCTCACATGTTTGTGCAGGTGCACATGTGAATATGTGCACATGTGTGTAAACAGATTTGGCGTTTCCCTTGGTTCATTTTCCACCTTGGTTTCTGAGACAGGGTATCTCAGTTTTGCTTGAAACTTGCTGATTCAGCTAAGCTGTCCAGCATTGAACTCTAGGGATCCATCTGTCTCTCCCCTCCCCCTCTCCTACCCCAGCACTGAGACAGGAGTGTATACTACCACATCTATTTGTTGTTTTTTTTTGCCCCCTGACTTTTAACATGGGTGCTGGGGTGCAGAATCAGGACTTTATGTTTGCTGGCCAGATACTTCACTGACTGGATTATCTCTCCACCCCACCCTGTTTTATTGTTCATTTGTGTGTGTGTGTGTGTGTGTGTGTGTGTGTGTGTGTGTGTGTGTGTGTGTGTGTGTCTATAGCATGGCAGTGGGCAGTGGATTTCACTTTAGTATTCTAGTTTGAAGCAGATTCTCTTTTCTCATTAAGAGTGGAATGATGTAATGAAACAGAGAGAGCACAATGTTAGAAGGTCAGGGACTCCAGTGTGACTTTGCAGACTCTCCAAATGACAAATTCTAAATTTGAGACACCTTTCAAACCAAATCAAGTATTTTATGGAAGAGTAATAAAAACAGAGTGAAGCACTTTCATCTTCTAAATTGCCTCTATTTCTGTATTATCTATAATACAGACAATACCGGGATGAGCAATAGTTGACAGCCATATTTAAAGTTTGACAAGTTTTCATTTGAGAAGGAGACTCAGTGTCTAAATTCCCTTTTATGCATGTGGACTCTTGCTACCAAGGATAGTTCTTAAAGAACTAGTTTTCTGAGATGCACTGACGTGGTGAGACATCATTGCTCTGAGGCTCCCTTTCCCTAGGATGGTTTCCTCCACAGTATCAGAGAATGGAGGCCTCTAGAGTAGTTCAAGACCAAGGCAGGAGTAAGAAGAAAGGTCTTCACCGAAATCAAGACCCAGGCTTGTTGAGATTGTTGCTGCTGCTTTGAGCTATTTCATTGTTTTCAAGGCTTTAAGATGGATGACATGAAAAAAACCACATGGGAAGCATGAGTCAAAGATTTTGGAATGAACTAAAGGGTAGATAGCCTGAAGAAACCAAGATAAAATTTCAAGTCTGAAAGACAGAATTAGATCTGAAAACAGAGATTACCACTTAAGTAGGGGCGATTTAGACCTCAAGACTTAGGGAAGGATCAGAAGGGAATGAAGGTGTGACCCAAGATTGTGCTATGAAGGCAGCCTGAGTAGCCTGGAGCTTGCTCTTCATTATACATGATCAGTATGTTGGGAGTGGATGGGTAGATGGGGTTAGCTTACAATAATGGTATTGAGAAAGATAACTCTAAAGCTCTAAAGGAGTCAATGCAGTTCTTCTGATGATTGTGATCCTGCAGGTAGACATGGGGCATGGTATTGGTTCCAACATTAGTTATCTATGAGAAAAGAAAAAAAACTCTGTATGTAATTTATATGGACTTTTATCATTTCACACATGAGGAAGCAAACTTAAACCAGAAGTGGAGGGCATGTTTGACACTGTTTATTGTTTGAAGTACATGCCAAAGCCCAACAGTCTAGGAAGTTGTGTGTGGTCAATTTCTGGCTGTATTTATTCTCATTAAGTGTTTAGATGATTCTCTACATGATCTGAGAAGGAACAGGAATCAGATGGACCTAGTGGAGCATACAGTTAAGTGAATCTGGTAATTCTTTGAACCATGTGTGGGTGTCTTTGGGATGGCACATATAAAGAGAGCAGAAATAAAAGATTGAGTTCAACTGAAAAAGTTGAACTACTTGTGGATTACTTGAACTTTAAAAAGGCCAGAGGAACAGGGAATTTGGTATGAGATTGTGTATCTTAGGAATGTCAGAGCGTTATTTATAAAGCCTCATCAACGTGGCTGTCTAGACAGAACCCTAGTGAGGACAATAGCAATGGATAGTCTAACATTGAAGGGCCAAAGATGACAGGGCTCAGCCTTCGACCAAGAACTACAGACTGCTAAGGAATGCGGAGAGTGGGAGAAATGGTCTTCCCCAGGGAAGGGCGCCCTGATGGTTATCCAATACCAAATGGTCAGCCATTTGTATTCGCTGAATAATATGTGCACTGTAACATTATACAAACTGAGCAGGTTGTATTTACGTATTTAGGAATTTAACTATCATCCATCCATCCATCCATCCATCCATCTATCTATCTATCTATCTATCTACCTACCTACCTACCTACCTACCTATGTATATCAATAACAACCATTAAAGAAAAAGATGCCATGAATTTGAAAAAGAGTAAGGGGGTTGGGTAGATGAGAATATTTGGAGAGAGTAAAGTGGGAGAAATGATGCAATTATATTATAACCTTAAAATAAAAACAATGAAAAATAAATTAGACTAAATTAGAAAAAAATGTATCTTAATGGCACATTGGTCTATTTTAAATTTCTTTTATATAATCACTTGAGTGACCAAAGTAACACTATCTTGTCCTGATCTTAGCCTGATCCATTTTGTGTCTGCTCATGTGCTTTTCAACTCTTATCCACCCAAACAGTCTCATTGACCTTGGCAACATGTGCATGGCCGAAATGCACAACCAAAAATATGTACTTAAATGTATACCCCAAATCAATGTTACCAGGTTCTCCTCTC